CGGAGCGCCACCTTACATAAGACAAGAATCAAGTCGTTCAATTTCCAGACAACACACAATTGATCGCCAGATCACCACTGCTGGACAATGCTCATCAAATTGTTCTCCTGTTGATGACCTCCAAGACTGGCAAGACTCACGACCCGCATTCAGGATCGCTACAAGCATCCCGAAACGTTGAACGCTATGACCAGGCGTTAGTCGAAACAGCCGCTCTTTTGCTCGTGTGCCATCAATCTCCAAGGTCATGAACAACGCCCGACCTGAAATCTCGCTGCTTGCCTAATTCAGGACTAAACGCGTCGTCGCATGCGTGACTCTCGAAAAGCAATTCGCAACGAGGCACTCCAGGGTCGCCATTTGCAATTATGCCTTCAGCCCTTTGATCGGTGAACGAAGAGCCTTAACAACTGCCGCGCAGCCGCACGACTAAGCGCGCATAAAGCACGCGCTCGGCGTCCACATTGGGCGCAAATACGAAGCACGAACGCGAATCCGCATTCCCCATCGCGCCGGCAACTGCGAAGGTGAGTACAAAGGTGCCGCGGTTTCTACACATGAGGTCTCGCCAGGCCTCGTGTTGCGGACCAAGCCGCAGCACGCCAGCTGCGCGCCAAACACTGCTAGTTCCCAAAGCTCGTCACTCAAATCATGTAATTGGCTCGTTTTCGGGCAGCAAACCGTGCAGATTGCTCACGAAGAACCGAGGGCGCGGAAAACACAAGGGCTAATTCTCCGTCGAGGGCACCGTCTTTCCACCAACGATGGAGACTTGGGTTGGCTGTATATTGGCTCGTTTGTCAGTGGTTGGGTAAGCGGACATGAATCTCATAAAGTTCGACAAAGTTTGGAGTCGAGGGGACGGCGTGCTCGATTTGCGTTCCCCGCTGGAGGGGATGCGGATCGTGAGACTCGAGTCGTGTGCCGTGTGGATGCTGAGTGATCGGATGGGTTCCGCCCCGCCAGTGTGCGGTCGGGACGTGAAAGGCGAGGACTGAGTCGTTTGAATGAGTCGTGGGTGGACAAGAGGTAGGTGGAAGGTAATGAGGCGAGTGAGCTATTGAATGGCTGTTTTGAGAGAGGACGTTGCGTAGACTGCCTACGTGGTTGTTGGCATTGAAAAGTAAACTCTGGTAACGTCGCTATGTGACTACACTTTTTGCAGGAAATCCCGTGTTGTACAGTGTATCGCGCTGGAGACCTCCAGAGCTTCCTCACTTGGTTCATTGACTATTCTGCTCCTCAGCGCTTCTCTGAACGTTCTGTGGGTTAGGCACCGCGGTCGTTTCGATCAGCTCTTGACGTCCGTCGCTGTCGACAAATACAGTACCACACTCGAAAGCATATCGAGGCCAAATATGTCCGTCCTCATCTGCGTCCTCGTTTACGTAGTCATGGAGTGGCATGGAGTGGAGATGCTGACGTTTCGAACCATTCTGAGTGAGCTGTTGAAGAACTTAATTTGCAACCTTCGGTGTACAGCAGTCGACGCTCATTCGCCGTATAGTCATTGACCAGCAGGGGTGAATCCGTGAGTTCAATCAGACGTAAGCCGTCGTGCTGCGCCAGAGCTTTCTGCACCGGTATAGTCTTACTTCTGCTTCCACGTTAACTCAGGATACTCACTAGCTGGCTCCTTCATTCCGGGACCGCAGGAAAGATCCTTGGAGGGTGCACTGAACATCTCCAACGGCACGTCTGACCTTGTCACGACCAATGTGTGCTCCGAGCGAGACACCCGGTGTTTTGAGACATGAATCGTGGAAACAATGGACGTACTTTCGCAGGATGGTAGTGCTGGGAGGGATAAAGAGGGCGGAAGAGTAGGCCTTGGACCCGAGACCAGATCCAGCCCTGTAAGCCTAGCAAGTGCTTCTTGCCGAGGCGTTGGAAAGCCATAGGTGCTGGGGATGATCGATGTCGATGACAAAGGTTGATGCTGAGGTGTCTCCAGCGCCAGTTCCTCGGTATTTTTGTGCACCTCGGGCCTGGCGGCGGGAGACTTCTGCCCTGGGGACCTCCGGCTTCGATCTGACAGGAAGTCTGTACCGGTGCGGACCTGCTGAATGTACTGCAATGCTGGCAGAGCTGCTGCTTTACAGTCCCTTGGAACTGCTACACGGGCAGCATGATTTCGACGACTGACGTCCGTTCTGGCGGTGGAAGCAGTGGGCTTTGGAGATGAAGGACGGCGTTGGCTCTTCATCGCCGGAGACGTTCTCAGACGTCCCGGGCCAGCAGCTTTTTTGGGGCTTCTGTTAGAACTTGATGAAGACCGTTGGTACGCACAATTTGCCTCAGCAATGTCTTAGTCTAGTGCACGAAGCACTTGCTGTTGCGAGCGTTCATCTAGCTTACAGATGTAAGCAACGAAGGCTTTGTATGTTGCAACGCTGTCTGAATCGAGGAAAGCCTTCTTGCTGTCTCTGGGCATCGCAGAAGATGCGGCTGATCCAGCTTTCATGTTGGAACGTGGCCGTGACCTGGCGTTATGTTCCCATCCTCTGACGAGCTCTTGACTTGAGGTCAAGCTAGAGAGCTTTGACGACGTAGCTTCAGGGGATACAACAAGATTATTTTGAGGTATCTGCGACCAGTGCTCTGATAGTACTCTCCGATCATCTTCCAGCATGCTCGAAATTCGCTTGCTGTGACGAGCTATCCTGTCTCGAAGCGCTTCATCGTCGGTTCGCGATTTTTTCGACAAACTAGACCGTATGGAGCTGATCTCGTTCCGGGCAGCAATTATGAGTCCATAGCGCCCTAGATCGCTATACGGTTCCAGCCCTTCGCAGAATGGTGGATTGCAATCTGAACTCACGTCGAGGTAGCTGCTGAGTGCTCTGTGCGAGCCAGTGTAGTGGCGTTCGACTCGTGCAAGCTCAGTGAGAGTTTTGTTGCGATCCATTTCGAGGGCTTCGATCAGCAACATTTGTTGTTTGTTTGTGGCGTGAATATCGGCATTATTGAATGGAAGCCTACTGTATCGTTAATGGCCGGTGGGTACGCGCATTGATAGCCAGACGTACATTGGACGTGCAGTCCTCTCAACAGTGCTCAAGGTACTCAGCATTAGCGTCAGATTTGTCTTGTATGCCTCAATCGCCGCCCGCAGGACCAAAAGCTTCGGCTTCTTGGACACTGCCCATTGCAGCCGCTCGACAAGTCCAAAGTTACCATCTCTGCCCTCTCTTCCAGATGTCATCTTTCTCAACTTGTCCACTGCGTTAAGAATTTTTATGAACATTTGTAGACTGTCATCCGTCATGTCACTGATCAGCTCGGAGCAATGGGCGTAGCGGGGTGACTTTTCGATGGTCTCTATCGTTTCGCCCAGTGTTCTCAGTACTGAACAGAATGATCGGATCTCTCCACCGATCATCCTTGCCTCATGTCCGGCTGATCCCACATCTGCAGCGAGCTGTGACAGCACCAAGGCTACCTTTGTGCCAGCAGACACGATTCCAATAATACTCGCTGCGAACTCCGCCGTGATGGTCCATGCATCGATACAATGTGGTTAGGAAGTGATGGATGACTGCAATCAAACGAAGACTGACATAGCAAGCTGGTAAGCAGGCAGTAGGCGAGAACACATAAGAGAAAGACTGGTGCATGAACGAGCCTAGGTCCAAGGCCACCCACTGGCGGCGCATGTTGAATGCCCTCATTATCATGTTTGGCCCTCAGCAACTGCGCCCCCAGTTCCCTGCATCACAGCACCGCCTCTTCAAACCATACTTCTAGCCAACCAGATTGTAGAATCGAGGAACTCCGCCTCGCGACCAGCTTCCTCGCAAAATACAGGAGCATTTCCATAGTGAACTTCATCAGTCAGAGATGGATGCCTGGAGTGAAATGATTGATCGAGAGACCTCGGGATGTTGATGGTTGACGTAGTTCGGAGCTGGGTGCTCCGGCCGCCGAGGAAGGCGCGAACCTGAGCTATCACGCCGCCATGCAATCGTGAGCTTCGTAGGCAATCAGAACATCGTCACATACACCAACATGCGCACTTCAATCCCTATCCTCGCCTCGCTGGCGTCTGTCACCTCCGCGGCCCGCTTTCTGCTGCAAATCCCCATCACACATGTTGTGAACCCCTCCGCGCTGTCCTCTACGACTCACGCTACTCTCCAATCCAGTGGGCCGCCAGTCGACGCATATCTTACACGGTCGAACACCTTCAACTTCAACAACATCAGCGTGGGTAGCTATCTGGCAACTGTGCACTGCAGAGACTATGCCTTCGAACCTCTGCGCATCGACGTCAGCATCGAGGAGCCTGTTGAGGGAAGTGGTGTCAAGAAAGAAGTAATCAGGGCATGGCAGACGTTCTTGGGCAACGAATGGGACAACAAGGGCGAGAGCAGAGGAGAGGGCGGTAACGGTCTTGTCATTGAGGCAAGGCCGGTCGGTCAGAAGCAGTTCTACCAGGAGCGCGCTGGATGTAAGTCCACCCTTCACAAGAACAACAACAAGCCACCACTAACAAACCCAGTCTCACCGCTGTCCTTCCTGAAGAACCCAATGATCCTAATGGCCCTCTTCTCTGGCGTGCTCATGTTCGGTATGCCCAAGCTCATGGAGAACATGGACCCTGAGATGAAGGCCGAGATGGAGGAGATGCAGAAGAACGGCGTATTGGGCTCAGGGTCAACAAACACAGCACAGCAAATCCAGAACTTCGACCTCGCGTCATGGATGGCAGGCAAGACGACCGATTCGAACAGCCGTGGCCAGAGCCCGGCACCGGAGAAGCAGGCTTCCAAGAGGCGGTGAACAGGACTGGATGCGGACACGAATGCATAAGAACAAAAGAGACGGTCGAGTAGTTGTCAAGCTTAGCGAAATTGTCAATAGAGGTATCGCCAGCCCCACAGGACCCCATGAGTGCGGCAAGATACGAGTGCGAATGCATCGCTCACAAATTAACAATCTCTACATAAAGGCTGCAGGTTCCCATCCTATCATCAAACAGTTCCTTTCAAGAACAAGTCGCCCTCTTGGCTTAGTGGTAAAGCGTATCACTAGTAACCAACTCCTTCTAGGAGACCTGACTTGCAAATGATAAGATCGCTAGTTCGATTCTGGCAGAGGGCATTATTTTTTGTGCCTGCACTACACTGCGTGTACGAGAGCTTGCATTGTTGAGTCGCTGGACAATTTTGACCTTCTCCTTTTTGCCCCACCTACGTTCACGCTAAGCGAGCACCTTGTGGTCTGGCCTCTTGAACAGCTGCAACAACAAGTGACTACTGAAGTGTACAGTACTTCAAGTACTCCTTAAGCGAGCCGCTCTGCCCCAACCCTATTTCCTTAAGATTTTTGAGCTCCCCAAGTGGACCCTTACTTGTCCAAGAGCTGGCCTTGCCAAATGTGAACACTGACAACTGCATCCCAAATCGCAAGCAAGAACGCAGCAGCGACAATAATAGTCACATGAGGATAAGTGCGTCGATTCAATGACAAGACTACATAACAAACGCTACATCAAACAAAATCAGAACAAGAGTGACAGCAAGCTCTACGCTGCGCCACTCCTCAACGCCTTCATCCCACTCGCCATAGCCGGCTCAATATGTCCCCTGATCGGCACGCGCGTGCAGTCCCTCGGGAACATCAAAACATACCTCACCATAACACTCTCCGGGTCTGTGACAACATGAATGTTGCCCGTCACCTTGCTGGCGGTACCGACCATCTCACATCCCAGAATCATCCGCATGTTACTCAACCCACTGTTCTTCCAACTCAAACTCGCAGGACTGTAGTAGAAACTCGTCGACGGGTCGTCAGACAGATAGATCCCCTTCCCGTGCGCAGCGCCAGTACGTTGTAATGTTGTGCCAGAGCAGACTCTTAGACCTTGTGCGAGAATAGCTGCTAGGCGATCGAGACTCGTGCCGTGGAATAGTACGGTCGTGTCTTTCTTCGAATTACCAACCCTCTGCACAAATGCATTCTCCAGCTTGGGACTGACATTGGCAAGCACGAATTGGTGCGTCCCAGGCGGTAGGTTGGGGATCTTAAGCAGCCCTGTTGCGGTTGCGAGGAAACCGCGGTGATGTACGACGGCCCAGGATATGAGCTTTTCGGCGTCTGCGTGGTAGGAAGCGAGGACTGAAGAGAGGTTCACGGCGTCGCGCATGACGCTCATGGTTGGGAGGGAGTTGAGAATCGACTTAATGTGTTCGTTGCCGCGGATTGGGCAATTAGGGAGGAGCTCAGGCTTGTTGGCCATCGCTGCAGCGTAGACGGAAGCGAGAGCCATGTCGACGGAGAAAGTATCTGTGCGGATTTCGGGGACTCGGACGTGGAGGGGCAGATTGTACCAGAGCTGTGCGCAGGCGTATGGGTTGCTCGTGCAGGGGGTAGAGCGACGGAGCTGAAGAGGTTGTGCATTCCTGGCGCTGCAGGACACGCAGAGCTGAGCTAGTTTGGGAAGCCATGAATCTACGTATTGGAAGATAGCCGCAATGCCTGTCGTACCTCTGCGTATCTCTGAGTAGATAACGCGGCTAAGCTGCCAAGTGAGAGCCGTTTGCGCAGATGTGCATATCTGCTTGGTAGGATTCTCCGATCCTGCTGAGCAGACGTATCTTGTGTGAGCCAATGTTTCGAAATGCTTGTCTGTGTTGTAGTGCAGACAGAATGAAAGCGACGATTCGTTATTGTAGTCGAGTGACAGCTGGAGCATAAGCGTATTGGCGCCTTCTGGTATACCCATGGCGGCACGCTGCAACTGCGTGAACGCAGCGATTGAAAAGGTCAACTCGACCTCGTTATCACTGAGCCTCTCCGCCAAGTCTCTCACGCCAGCTGGAAGCTTGATCATCTCCTCGTCGAGCTCAGTCGTGTCAGGTACTCCAATTTCCTGGAGAAGCAGGGCGGTGCCTTTTGGATCCTTCGCTTTCAGTGCCTTTCGTAGAGCTACGAGACGAGCTTCTTCTTGAACTATGTCATCTTCGATCTTCTGCCAGAAAGCTGCCGCGCTGGCGAGTGTGGCCTGAGGAATATCGAAATGAAAAACCTTGACACCAAGCAAGCTAGCCAACAGACTAATCGCATCTTTGCTTTCCCCAGAGACAGTCACATTCTGCATCCATCCTGCCACCATAACCTCGACGACGGCGGCGGGGATGTTGTGTCTTTCGGCGGACTCGATCGGTTCAGATGGATGTCGAGGTGCCAGGAGATATCCATGTTTCGCATCCCATATCCTTTTGCAGGCACGCGCGGTGTCCTCAGAAGCCTCAGACAGACTCGCAATGCACACTAAGATCTTACCACCGTTCTTCGTTTTGGCAGACAGCAGTCCGACGACTTGTTGCAGAAGAAGTTCAACCGACTTGTTCTCCACAGCTTTCAGAGTCTTCAGTATGCTCCCAATCGTACTACTTTGTACACCGTCTCTGATCAAAATGCACTTTATTGGCTCGCTCTGGCAGCCCAGTGCTGTTTCGAGCCGCGTGAGGGTGTTTGTGTATTGAGCAACCTCTGCCCTATACTTCTGCAATGTGAACCTGAGTATAGCTGGTACGTCCTCTTCATGTGAAGGCAGTGGTGGCCCGGTTGCGAAGACAGATTGCACATCCTCCAGGAAGGACAGCCATTCTGCTGCTTTCATCGTGATCAGGGTATGTTTCAGCAGATCTCCTTCGTCAAAAACGCCCTTCCTGGTTTCTCGAGTGAGTTGGTAATATGCAAGGTCTCTCCAGCACAATAGCTGTGCTTCGAAGTTGTCATCTTTGAAACAGCTAGCCAAAAGCCGAACCAGCTTGACAATACTGTCCTCAGGCGACTCGACGATCCCCTGTAGAATGGTCAGCAGCTCCGAGACCGCCAGGCCGGGGCCCAATTGCTCGTTGGTCGTTGCGATTCCATTGAGACATCTAACTCGAAGATTTGCATCTTCGGCAGTGATATTCGCAACAAGCACGGCGAGACATCGTCGATTTTGAGTGAGGGTTGGCGCGAAAGTGCCCTCCCAGATTCTCAGAACCGCGTCGAAAGTACGCTGCGAGGTGTGATCGGCTGCTTGCTGGGAAAGCAGACGGTGCAAGAAGTATTGTTCTACGATCTCTTCAAGAGGATGCTTCGCTACTTTATCTTGGCCTGTCAGAAATGACGGTGCTGACACTCGTCCTTTTGGCTGCTGAACGAGATTGGCTGTTTCAGACACACTGTCCGCGGCGATTATAGGTTTAGGCGTCTGTCCCCGACTGCGTGCAGTAGAGTAGATATCAACGGCCGTCAACATTTGTTCCTTTGATGGGAGCAACAAGCAGATTTGTTCGATAGTCTTCTCTCCCACAATTGGGATGTTCTCCGAAGACTCCAGGGTAGAGCAGAATGTGTGCAGTTCCAATGCTAGCTCTGTCCAGGGCTGGGCTTCTTCGATGAGCGTGCATATTGCGGTCTGACTTTCCTCGATGCATCTGCTAATTCCTCGGAAAAGGGAAGGTGCCAATAGAATCCTTCGAATGCTGGAAGCGCGATCCTGGTCGAAAAGATGAACAAGGTTTTGCAATTCGCGAATGTGACTTCCTCCAATATCGTCTTTCGCTGTATAAACGCACAGTATGGCGTCTGTGAAGTCGGAGCCGAGGCCTGTCTTTGAACCGGCTGACATGAACAGTGCAGCCTGGACAAGATTCAGAGCCTCTTGTGTCATTGGGCGAGCAATCACCAGCTTTGTGAACAGTCCGAGCAACTGAAGACGATCTGGTAGGGGGCTAGATGTCCACATCGATCCTAGGATCGAGATGGCGCTTTCTAGGATTTCTCTCAAGCCGTCTTTTGTGCGACCAGGAACCTCAACAAGCAATGCTCCAAGCTTTATGTAACCTCGGTCGCACCCGTATCGTTCGATCAGACCTTCTCGCAGCGTTGGCCTCGTTCCGCTGATAAAGTCAGGGCCTTCCAGAGCGAGGAGATCTGTCAATACTGCCGCATCGTTGCCTTCGATAGAGCTCAGGATGCGTACAAGCCTGAGATCTGGCCTCCAGCTTGCCCATACTCGCCATAAAGGAAAGTGAGAGTCGAGTAGATGTTCCGGCAGGAGGAAACCAGATTGTTTTGATGCTGGGGTGGTGCGTGCAAGTTCGGCCATCCAACATGATGCTCCGTAGGCTGCGATCCAGTTGTTCTTCAAACGTAGACCTTCCAAATGCGTCGCATAGTCTTCCAAAGCTCGACTGGTCAATATCAAGAAGTCCGGGACCAAGTTCATATTCGACGTGGCACACTCTCTGACTGCTCGGCACATACCAATGAGAAGCTTCCCTGCTGCTCCTGGACCGTGAGTCGCGAAGGGCAGTAACTGACGTGCCCATGTCGCTTCTAGATCCGTAACAGAGGCCGGGTTTCCGCAATTTGCAGCAATCAAACATTGCAGCCATGTCTCGAGGCCCCAGTAGTTTCCATGTGCAATGTTCAAGTCGACATGCAGTATTACCCTCAGGCTTGTTGCTGTGATGGCATGAGCAGCAGCAGCAACGGCAATGTCTTTTGCTTCGTGCCCGTCGATCAGTATAGCTAAACGTATGTCGACGTCCGCCTGTGTGATCTTGCCCTTCTTCTTAAGGTAGACGTCGGTAGCTTGTCGAAGTAGGTGGTACGGAAATTTCGTGTCCAAAGGGTGTAGTACACCAGCAACAGATTTGATTGCTTGATGCCAGTCTTCGCTGTGCTTGGATTTGTTGAACAGTAAAGAGTGCCTCAAAGGCACCTTCCCCCGTGGTCGACGGTCGTTGAGCTGCATCGTCATGGTGGCCATCTTGGGCAGCGGATGGTGCAGAATCGTTATCGAAGATGCATCGTCATGCAGCGTCGTAGAAGACAGTTGCAGTCAAAGAGAGGCAATTGCAGACCTCACCGGGCACTGCCAGGGTTGGTATGAGGATGGTACATGCCAGTTTGGGAAAGCCGAAACCAGCCACCAGGCAGGAAGGCAGATAAAGCAGTCCGCATCGTCGTAGTAGGTACCTGCCGCAGCTCATGTGAGCCTGTCAGATTGTTCAGGCTCAGGAGAGCCTCGCGGTTACTTGACTTGACTGCGCATAAGGCGGAGCCGGGAGGCTCGACCAATGATGCGCCTG